CGCAATGATGGTGCCAATTGGGCCAGTGAAGCAACGTCCTCCACAACTAGACTGAAGAACAAAACGACAGCAACTTGTCTCTTCCCCTTCCCCCAATTCCCCAGCACTGTTCCCATCCCAATTCCCCAATAAAAATCTTTAAAAAAAAAAAAGAACAGTCATAGCTGAAGAGAAATATGTAATCCTGATATACAGCTACTTGAAGCTACTATAAATGTTTATATAATAAACACTTTTTGAGTACACCTAGGGAGAGTATTTATAGAGGATACAAACTTGATCCTATGAGGTCCCAGCCATCAAAATACTTACATTCTACCAGATAGAAAGACACAGATGAGTAACAACTACAATAAAAGGAGAGTATTGTAAATGGCATAGCAGAGGAGAAAGTGCAATAGGAGGAAAAGGAGAAAGAGATTACTTTTCAAGTTGTATGAGGAAACCTCAGGTAAGGCTTCAGAAAAGATAAATCAGACGTGGGTAGACATATAAGACAGTAGTACAGAACTATCCTTTAAACTGAAAAAGAGGCAACACTAGAAGTTACATGATGATAAAACAGGGAGTATTCAAAGTTTCAGATTAAATATTGTTTCTCTTTGTATATCTTGGGACTACCAATTTTACTGATTAATTTCAGAGGGAAAAGTTGACTAACTTAAAACATTAGCTCTTTATTTTAAAAAACATATATTGTGTTGTCGGAAAAGTAATGATGTATTTTTTCTGTTTTTTGTTGCAAAAATGCATCATGACTTTTCTGACAACCCAATATTATGGAATAGAAAGCAAAATATGAATTTTAAAGGCAAATCAGGCAACATCAAACACCTTTGATTCTTCTATGGAGCCAGTCAAAACTATGCTCTTTAAATACCATAGGGATACACATTCAATTTCATTTACCATTAGAGGTATTTTCCTGGGAAACTTAACAGCAGCAATAGCGTAAGACAGAAAGAGGCAATATAAACAAAAACATGGAAATGGAAAATAAGTTACTCCAGTATGTGGGAGTTCAGATGACAAAGACTTAAAGGACCAATTGCAGCTTGTCTTGATTGCTAACCTAGGGAATCTGATAATTAATAGTGGGCAGTGAGCAGGCATTGAAGGTTTCTGAACTGGAAGGTGACATGAGTACTAGGATTTAAGATGACTGAAGATAATTCTAACAGTAGTATGCAGGGTGAATTTGGACTGAGAAACAGGAAACAAACAAACAAACAAACAAAACGATTAGGAATACTATTTCTAATAGTGCAGACAGAGCCAACTCAACAGCCCCCTTCGCTACTCTCCCATGCAAAACTGATCGACGCCTCCTCTTTGCATTCATGACAAATTATAATATAGTAGAGTTAAAACACATCAGTGTAATTATTTGTTGTTACATCTAGTCCTGGTACCTCCAAACTTCCTGATCAAGGCCTACCACTCTATCTGGTATATAATCTCTGTTCACATGGGGTGTATAGTCTCCCACTCCTTTCTCTTTCTATATACATTTTTTTCCTCTTTTCCAAAACTGAGATTATAAAATACATATAATTTTGAATGTATTTTTTCACTTAAAAACACAAAGATAAACATCATTCCATTCAGTAAACAATGGAAATTTTTCTGTAGTTGACACAATATTATAATAGTCATCATACATGAATAAAAAAACTGATGATGCAAACTGATAAGCAAATATAGAATCCAGGATGAAGGCAAAGGGATAAAGAGGGATGCAATTATTGAGCTGCACATTGGATCTTAATAGTACAGTTTTGCAAAAAGAGTTCTAGCATTTAATATACTCGTTAACAACAAGAATAATAATGATTATCACATTGTTAGCAGCTTAAGAGAAGAAGCTTTAAGTCTAAGGTTTTACCGTATCAGCAGTATTAATTCCATTTCCCCACACCAAATCAAAGGTTCCATTTATGTAGCCTACTTTGTTGGCCACATCTTCAAAGAGCTTTCTGAGTGGAGTAGAAGCTGGCAAATTTAAAGTGATCCGTTCATTCACTGTCTTTGAATTAGTAGTATCTTGTATTATACATAAGACTCTAGGTTCTTCAGCAGCATTTTCTATCTGAAATTAAAAATATACATATTATTTATCTTTACTGGAAAATAACTATAATTAGCCATATGTTCTACGATTAAATGTAAAAAAAAAATCCCATAAAATATTATTTTCGTTGTGCCAGTATTACCGTGTTGCTACTCTGAAAAACACTCTAGTGGATATGTCAAACATATAAAGCAACACATTTGTTTGTTTTGGAAAAACTGAAGCACACTTAAAAATCAACAGTCATTCTTGTGGATACTTGCTTTCTCCTCTTAAGGTTGTAAATCAATGGTCAACAAGCCATGAAGAAAGTATACTGGAGCAATTTTGAGTTGAAAATGACAAAATCTGACCCTAAAAAATGCGTCATTACCTTGCTAGCACAGTCACATCAAGCATGTCTGGGTCTCCTGAAGAAACACAAAGGGAACCGTATAGAAATGCAGTGAGGATAATCTAAGATTGCAAAATCCATAACTAAGGGACGTAAGCAATTAGGCCTCCAGACCTTTATGCTGCTATACCCATAGACCAGATGTCCAAAAAGCCCATTATCAATGTATTGGGAGCTGACAAGCTTATCTAAACAGATCAGCCAACGGAGGAGGAAGGAAAAACAAGGAAAAAAAAATTCAGTTACCAATGTAGAAGGGAATTAGGGTCACAAATTCATCTTCTTTTGTGTCTAGTGCATACATAACTCAGTTATTATCAAGACAAAAAAATTTTAAAGGACACTGTCTCAAAGAAGTTATGCCCTCCCTCAAGCTGTTGAAGGACACTGCTTTTCTTTTCCACTTTCCACAAGGAAAGTAGGCGGCATCAGATGCTAGCAGAAGTTCTTTCCCTTCTTGTCCTGTCACGCTCAACTCTCAGTGAATGGCACCATCAACTAACTACCAGCTGCTGAACACAGACCTGATCATCTTCCCTGTTTCCTTCTCCTTCACCTCACAATCACCAAAGGGGTATCTTCTGGATATACCTTTTCTCTTATTCCTGCCTGCAGCAATCAGAATCTTACAGGGAGATTATGGCAATCTCTTCCTAAGAAGTTTAACTTATTCCAATGTTATCTTCTTCAATCCAGAATAGTATTTTAATATGCAAATCTGATTATGTAAATCTCTTACTTTCCTTCAAAGTCAAGTGCAATAGTCATTTAACTTGGGGACCTCTCACCATCCCTCCCCCACCCCATAATAGGCTTTCCAGAAATATGAACTGTACAAACTGGTGCTGTATACAAGAATTTCTTTTCCCCCCTCTTTTTTCCAATATCAGCCTCAACCTTTTGTTCCTTCTTTATTATCCATTAATTAAGAATAATTATTATCATTTACTAGTACTGAAGACAGAATAGCCACAAGGTTAGTATGCTTGTTTGATGGGGTAAAAATACAATTATAATTTGTTTCTGCTGTATATAATTTTGGGTTTGCAAGAGATTATTTAAACTAAGTTCAATCCAATTAGTTTAGAACAGAAATAAGTTGCTACAAGAGAAGTATAATGTTTAAAATTATATTTCAGACAAATCAAAATACTTAATAACCCATTTAAAAATGAAAATAATACATTTCTATAAAATAAACAGAATAACAAAAAGAGCATTACTAATATACTTGTCAGAAAGGAAAAAAAACTTTACCTATAAATATAAACTTAAGGTGTCATACTGAACATGTAATGAATTGTTTTACACATTTTAATCTCAAACTGAGAAACATGAAGTGGACCTTTTTAAACACTCTTTTACAATTAAAGAGTGAGCAATCTGAATTTCAACTACAATAGATCCACTTTTATAGCTTCAATAGTATACTTCAGAGGTAGGTGCAGGTTTTCCAGATATAAAATATAATGGCCAGATTTTTAAAGCTTCACATAGGTTGGAATTGATCATCCAAGGATAATTCAGAAATCCGAAGTGCTGACATGGCAGCACACCTAGGAATGGTATGCATCTGATGCAGCAACATCAGAGGGCCAGGCATTAACAGTTCCTAGTTCTTCCCTTAAATACGTGAGCACAAGCTAAAGGCAATCTATTTAGCCACCTCACCTTCCACCCCAAAATGTGGAGAAATTACCCCCAATTAAATCTCATCTGAAGACTTAAATATACTATAGTAAACACAAAATCTGTCTTTTACCCTTTTTAATGACAATAGCTTTCTTTTCTGTGCATTGCATGTAAGTAATTTTGCTCCTTTTTTAAAAAAATAGGAAGAGTATAAAGGAGAAAGTGAAAGTCACCTGTAATGGGATTACACACAGATAACACACATTTTGGTGTGTACACACACACACACAGACATAGACACGCACGCTTTTTAAACACAAACATTGGGTTAGAATATACATGCTGCATTGTAATTTATTTCCTTACTTATATAAATATATCATGTAATCTTTCTCTGTCAAATATTTTTAACTCATCATTTTAACAGTTGAATAGTATTTTATTACATGGATTAATAATAATTTGTCCCATCAACTCTATTTTACTGACTATTAGGCAAGACTTTATTAGTTTAGAGATAATTCTGTGATGAAACCTACATAAAACTTTGAGTACTTTTCTGTTCCCTTAAAATTCCTACAAGAGAATTTTTGGGCCAATCATATTTCACTTTTGAATTCAATTCTAGGATAATTAAAACCAACCAACCAACCAACCAACAGCTCTGCTCTTCTTTGAAGCTCTAATATAGCCATTTGTAAATCCTATGACTTTATACCCAACCTTCTAGCCCATTCTTTATTTCTCGTTTAATCTAAAAAGTGGTTGTCATTCATGGACTACATCTAAATTTTTAATATCATTATTGCCAACGCTAACCACACTGAGGAGAAATCTTTCTTCTCCCCACCCTCCACCTCCCAATTTTTGGGAATTGATTAGGAAAAAAATTTTTTTCAATTATAAATTGTCATCAATAAGGTGTACCAATAATTTTATAACAGCTCGAAAGAAAAAAACAACAACTCTACAATATTATATTAAACATGCAGAATTTAAAAATGTTTTGAATTCTAAAACATTTAAATGTAACAAGTGTTTCTCAGAACTGGAAAAATAAGGCAACTACCTTTCTTCTTAATTTCTTTGGAGCTCTACTCCTGATTGATCCTACTTATGCTCAAAGGAAAAAGCAGTATCAGCTTGAGGAGAGTTAAAAGATGGCTAAAAATTCTTTGCCACTCTTTTTCCTTTTTTTCTGTCCATGAATCTAGGCTGGTCTTGTGAACCAACGGAACTTGACAGAAGTAATACTGTGTGATTTAACAAAGGTCCTTAAAAAATTAGCAGCTTCTGCTTTTGCACCTCTTGGAATGTTTCCTCTTATAACCCAGCCACCAGAAAAGAAATCCAGTTACACTTGGACCACCATGCTGTGAGGAGGCCCTAACAATCCACACAAAGAGAAAGTGGCCACTTAATGGAGCACCACTGAAGTGCCTGATAGGTGGGAAAAGCCTTGTTCATTCCATCCAAAGCCAGCCACCAATCAAATAGAGTCCAGTAGTGATCCCAGATGATCCATGTGAAGCAAAAAAACTGACCAGCTGAGCTTTCGTCCAAATCCAATCCCACAGAATTGTGAGCAAATGAATGAGTTGTTGTCAGTGAAGCCACTAAATGTTGGGGTAGACTGTTCCATAGCAATAGATAAAAACACATCTAAATACAGTTAAGCACACGCAAGCTCTAGGTGGGAAGGATGTGGGGATGGTGATGGTGTTGAGGACCGCGGGTTGAGGGGTAGGGTGTCCACTTAAATACTATACCCAACATTAGGGTCTGCTATCCGAGGATACAACATAATTCAGGGAAGGGAGCACAATTTTTGAGTCAAAATAGTTCTATGATGAATAAGAGAAAATAGGCAAAGAGAAAACAAGTACAAAGTTTTAGAAAGGTCTACAGCATGCTCCACTAAAGAAAACATTTAATATATCTTAGGTGGGCTATTAGAGGGGCACAAAGCTTTCTACTCAGAAAATCTAGCCAAGTACAAAAAAGGTATAAAGCATAAAATTAAAACTGCTTATTTTATGGACAACTCATAGTAATAATACATATGTGAAGAATCAGGGAAAGGTCAACAACAGTTATATTAACACCCTGTATGTTAAGAAAGTGTTCTGTCTCTGTCTATGCTCAATGCAGAAACAAAGCTAGATTTCCTAGCAAAATCTGAAGAAAGAATCCCTGAAAAAACAATAAAACCATACTATTATTTATAAAAGGTAAAATAAACTGGGATAAAAACACTGAAAACACATTTTTCTTCCAAAGATAAGCTTGCTGTTAGGAACATCTAGAAGTATTTAACACACATATCTTTCTAAGGAATCTCAGAGCCTGCTGAAGGCATGTTTGTTTGCCTCTCAAGTCGTTTTGGCTCCTTTCCTTGGCATTCCTAATAGTTCTAACTTCAAACCTGAGTTCTCTGAAGTTGACATAATCATTTTTGTTTCATAAAAAATACTTCTCAAGTATTTCTTATCAAAAAACACAAAACAAGTTGTATAACTGATGATATATATTTATAATGGCATTAGCATATAGAAAACAACATCAAATAAAATTCAAAGTTATCAAGATCCAGATTTCTTTCTAAGAGAAAAAATTATGATAAAGAATTTTAAAACATTACAAAGGGACTGACTTCTTTACTTCTAATTTTAATAGTCAACCCATTTTCTCTCAAGACTTCCTTCCTTTCAATGTTATTACAAAGAATAGTATTACGGTTGCAAACTTAAAAATACACAAACACATACACACAAAAGTCCATTTTATCTACGTCTTGACACAGGAGCTGCTATGAGCTAAGAAATCAGGCCTTAACACATTACCTTTCTGGATATCCACAGTTCACGTTTAATAATATACTGCCACACATTAAACAAGAGAATTGACGGTGTGGATACTCTTGCTAATTGAAATTTATTGAATTTATTGGCCTCATTCAGACTGAGTAACTTTAACAAGTGACATGGGGATCCCAACTTACATGGAAAAAAAATAAATAAATAAAAAAGGATTTTATTTTTAAGATCCTCCCTCCACTCCACTCCAACTACCCCAGCAAACTCTGATGTTATATGATCTTTTTCTAAGTGGTTTCTTGCTACAGATCATTTGGAGAGGACAGAAGAGATAAAAGGAAAAGCAATGGGGAAGAAAACTGAAGAGCTCAACGGACCTAAGGAAATGAGGTACTAAGTAAAAGGTTAGAATGGGGTGCTACATCACAGGCAAGTTTAGGTTTGTACTGTATACAGGATTCCAGGAAGGTAATAGTTTTACTCAGTTCTTCAAATAATATTTCTGGGTTTTGACTGTGTAAATTATTACATGATTTAACCCCAGGGTTATTACTATTTCAGAAAACAGCACATCTTTAAAAATTACACAACTAATATACCCAAAAGTCAAAACAAAGAGTTCTATGGTTTTTACATCACTTTTCCCCCTCAATCACTTGTTAAAAACAAGAGACTATCAGGCAAATTTATTTAATGTGACTTTCTTATTATTAAAATCGGGTAGAAATAAAATAGTCAAACAAGCATAAAACTTAACACATGCCTTGTTATTAAATAAAAATACTAACATGCTGTTATTTGCTCTGCTGATTATCACACTAAAGCAATTACATCAGCAGTCTACCTGTAAAAATTTCTTCTTCATTTCATCAAAGATATTTTGTCTGCATCTCCAAAATACATCCTATGGTATACAGAGAACAAGATGAATTACAAGTTATTTCTTTAAAATAAGTAGGCGAGACAGTGAAATAAGAACAATTAACCTAAAGAATTTTTTGCAAGTAAAATATGTACTCATATTTTATGGTATTATACCATCTAAAATTTTCTTGATAAATTACATTTGTAATGTTTATCTTAGGCTTCCATTACTTTTAAGGTTACTGAAAATGTGTGCTATAAAGAATTAATATTAACGTGGAAAACAACCATATTTTAACAAAGAGTGGTAGCTTAAGAAATGTATATAAATCAAATGTTCTAGGTCACATATTTGTTCCCAGTTTTACTGAGATATAACTGATGTATAACACTGTATTAGCTGAAGGTGTATAACATAATTACTAGATACATGTATACAAGTATACTGTAAAATGATTACCACAGTAAGTTTAGTTAACATCCATCAACTCATAGTGATGAGAACTTTCAAGACAGTACAGTATTGTTAACACCATGCTGTACATTATATCCCCAGGACTTATAACTGGAAGTTTGTACCTTTTGACAACTTCACCCATTTCCATCACCCCCGCCCCCTACCTCTGGGAACGATATATCTGTTTACTGTTTCTGTGAGTTCGGTTTTTTAGATTCCACATATAAGTGAGATCATACAGTGTTTGTCTTTCTCTAAGTCACACACAACAGTATTTTGAGTCCATTAAAGGAACTCTGCAGGGAAACCAAGAGATCCCTGACTTTGCTAGTTTATAAATTTGGATTTTTCACATTATAGATAGTCTTAAAGCAAGGCTGCTTAACATTATCCCCTATAACTATTTTCTTTTAATATAAATCTCTTCCTTATTATGAAACAAGCTTATTTTAATTTTAAGAAAATACAAAAACTGGGGCCAGTGGAGTGGCTCAGTTGGTTAAGAGTGCTAGCTCTGAGCAACAGGGTCGCTGGTTCAATTCCCACATGGGCCAGTGAGCTGCACCTGAGCTGAGCTGCCGCTAAGCTGCCAACAAGTGGCAGGATGGCTCAGCTGGTAAGAGCACGTGCTCCTAACAACAAGGTTGCCTGTTCGAGATGGTGGGCTATGCCAACCACAACTAAGACTGAACTCAGCACCTTGAGCTGAGCTGCTGCCCGGATGGCTCAGTGGATAGAGCGTGTGCTCTTAACAACGAGGCTGCTGGTTCGACTCTCACATTGGATGGTGGCTACGCCCACCCGAAACGAATTGAACACAGCACCTTGAGCTGAGCGGCACCACTGGACTTGGAGCTGAGCATGCTGTGCCCTCCACAACTATGATTGAAGGACAACTTGGCTGTTCCCCTTCTCCAATTCCCCAACACTGTTTCCCTACCCCAATTCCCCTATAAAATCTTTTAAAAAATACAAAAATATATAAAAGGAAGTAAAAATAACCTATAATAAAAGAGATAATCTCTTGAAAAATCTTGGTTTTACATCATTCCACACTTTTGCCACACAAATCTGGTCCCCCCCCCCATCTTTAATTAATAAAAAGAGAAACCAACATATTGTTTTAAAAGGTGATTTTTATCACTCACAATAGAATATATTTCTTTTATGATACAGCTTTTAAAAAGTATATAATCTATATTGATATAGATTTTTAAAAAGTAACTCTAAAATAACCTCTATAGCAATTAACAATTTGATATACATTAATATATCCTACCAGATCCCTCTCCATTCTATGCATATATGTATTTATTATTGGGTTGTCGGAAAAGTCATGATGAACTTTTGCAACAAAAAACATAGAAAAAATGTCATGACTTTTCCGACAACCCAATATATAGATTGTTAATTACTAACCAAATAGAATCATTCTGTACATTATTTAAATTCTCTCCTTGTCCTTCAACACTCACTCATCTTTCCATTCCAAAACATTTAGTTAAAAACAGCACATTATGCTGTTTTGTACACCTGAAACTAATAAAAATTTTTTTAAAAAAACTGCAGTGTTCCGTATCATACACAAATTATAATTTATTTAACTAATCTTCTATAGTAATGGGCATTTAAGCACCTTCAAATTTTCACTATAGCTTTGCTTGCCTGAACAGTTTTTTTCCTGAAGATAATTTCCAAAAGAAAGAAATACCAGATCAAAGGTTATATACTCATTTTTAGGATTTCTGACATATGGAGTGACTCTCTCTTCCACAACTGAGAACTGAACTGCAACTATCTGTCATACACTGTTCTAGGTGCTGAGAAAAGAGCACTGAACAAAGACCTTGCCCTCAAGGAGATCACACTGTGCAGTAGGAACCCAACCACAGACAAATCAAAACCACTGGGCACCCGTACCAGCCTCAGTCTTCGCAGTTCTGTACACTGTCCCTGGAATGCTCTTCCTCTGGACAGCCTCACCGCCTTTACTCAAATATCACTGTGGTGGCTTTAAAATATGTCCACAGATTCTCTGACATGACTCTCAGCAAGAATGGAATCTAATTCCAGTCCCCTTTAATATGGGCCAGCCTTAGTGACTTCCTATGATAGACAACATGACTCCCGAGGCTGGGTTAGAAAAGGCAATACCGCTTCCTCCTGGCTCTCTCTCAGATGCTTGCCTTTGGAACCCGGCCACTATGCTGTGTGGGAGCCAAGTACCACATGGAAAGGTCATGTGTAGATGTTCCAGCCACAGCCCAAATGAGAGCCCAGCTGGCAACTAGCATCAGCCACCATACATGTGAGTGAGAAAGCATTCAGATGATTCCAGCCCCCAGCCTTTCAGCTGCCCCAGCTGACGCCTAGCAGAGCAGAAACAAACTGTCCTAGTCTAGCCTTGCCCAAATTGCACATCTGTGAGCAAAAGTCACTAAGTTTGGGGGCAGACTGTTATACAACAAAAGATAATTAGAATGGTAGTCACTTTCTCTTATTAAAATTACAATCCCCTTGGTATTTTTCATTTCCCTTCCTTGGTTCAGGTTTCTCCATATAGTACTTACAGCTACTTGATTTGTTTATATTTTACTTGTTTATCATCTATCTCCAAAAAATTTCCACTCTGAGCCAAGATAAAATAGCAGATTGGATTTACTCTCCCCACCTTAAACAACGAAAAATCTAGACAAAATATATAATGCAAATAATTTTCAAATATTAAACAGATATTTGAAGTATTTATTTCAAAAACAGGCAACACAGGACAGTGATCCCCGTGAAAGAAAAAACCAACCACCTGGAAGTAAGCCACCTTCCAGGCTGCAGTGCTGGGTGGGAAAAGGCAGGTAGAGTCCAGCAAACTCCCTGCATTGAACAAATGAGGTGGGGAGTTTAAGGAGGTCAATTCAGCTAGGATTTACAGGGCAGACTACTGGAGAGAAGAAAACTGCAAATAGCAAGCTCCGAAGATCTGTAGATCAGTCCTCCTTTGAGTATTCAGCTGAGCATCAGCATATGCACTTGAAGAAACTATCTGAGGCAGGGAAAAGGGGGGGGGGCGGGGGAATGATCTTGTAATACACAGGGCTTCAGATAAGAGTACTAAGATGTGTACTGTCTCGGTCGGTAGTGGGACAAAATTAGGCCTAGTCTAAAGGCTACTCCGGTCCAATCTTACAAAGCTTAAACTTGAAAGGATCAAACCGTTTACAAGTAAATTAAATGCATCTGAGAACAAGATGCAAGAACATTTGTGGGAATAAAAAATACCCAGTACCAACAAGGTAAAATTCACAATGTCTGGCATTCAATAAAAAATCAACAGGCATGCAAAAAAAGCTGGAAGTGATGATCCGAAATGAAGATCCATAAATCAGTGAAAACCAACCCAGAAATGATACAAGTGATAGAATTAGTAGAGAAGGGCATAAAAAGTTTATGACTATATTCTATGTTTCGAGAAGGTAGAACAGTGTGTTAGGGAAAACATGGAAGATGTAAAAAGTCCAACTCAAATTTCTAGGGATGAAAAGTACAATATCTGAGATGAAATATATAATGGATGGGATTAACAGGTTAGGTATTATTGAAGAAAGATTAATGAACACTTGAAGACAAAGCAATAGAAACTATAAAAAATAAGACAAAGAAAAAAAATGCCAAAGAGGAAAAAAAAAAAAAGAACAGAAAGTAGGACAACTTTCTTACCAGACAGAGGTCAGAAGGAAGTTGTACAATGTTTTTCAGGTGCTTACAGAAAATAAATGTTAACCCAGAAAACTATAACCAAAAAAAGCCCTTTAGGAATGACCCAGGAATTGCTTTACTAATCAAGCAGAATTCAAGACATTCTCAGGTGAAGGAAAACTAAAAGAATTTTTCTCCAGTAGAACTACTCTAAAGGAAGTTCTCCAAACAAAAAGGAAATGACCAAATAAGAAACCTTAGAACATCAGAAAGGAAGAAAGAATAAATATGGTAGGCAAAATATCACTAAATATATTTTCCTTCTCCTGTAGAGTTTTTACTAAATGGTTGGCAGTTGAAGTAAAAATTAAAAGACGGCTTGAATGTGGTTATAAATATAAGTAGAGGATATATTTAACATAATTATATTACAAACAGGAGAGGGTCAAGGGACATAAAAAGAGTTCAAGTTTCTACATTTCAATTGAACTGGTAAAATACTGATACCACTAGACTACCCCTCCACCCCAACACACACACACACACACACACACACACACACACACACACACCCCAGTGGGCCAAAAAAATGTATACAAGTAGACATTTTGGTCAACGTTACTCAAGCACTTCTACGTAATTAGAAGTGTCTGGATGCTGATGGTAACCACTTTGAGCACTTCTTGTAATTGCAGAAGTCAAATATGACTTGTATTCATCTTCTGCTATTGGTATATGTTGAGTACTACAATTTTAACACAGTTTTCCTTTTTTAAAATGTGTGTACCTTTTTGTTGGCACCGTGTGTGTGTGTATTTGTGTGTGTGTGTATATATATATAAATAAATTAATGCCCAAAGGAACCACTAAAAAAGCTATCACAAAAGAAT